ACAACAATAAAAATAAACAAAATGAAGAAAAAAAAACATGTCAGTGTATTTTGTGACTAAAAGTTAAGTAAAGTGTAATATGGCATTTAAAATACATGTTATACTTTAGTCTGGTTTTCACTAACTACTACATACACTCATTATAAACTGCAATAATATAGAAATAGACTTGAAATTCAAACAGGCAGCACTGCTCAACAACTCTGTACAAAAAGGATATTTCTACATTATAAATGAGTAACCATTCAATAACAGTGACAATCCAAAAACATCATTGTTTCTCCTCCCAATATGAATAAAATTGAGATTTTACTACCCCCTTTTTTTTTAATTTTATTACCACAGTTAGCTACAGCTCTTCACCAGGGAGACAAGATGATGAGGGCAATCCCATGTAACATGACTAGTCATTTTTACAGAAAATGTTTCCTTTAATCTGATCATTCTGCAAATAAGTGCAGAAAAGAGATCATCAAACCCACTGGGAGCAGGCCTCTCTGACAGCCCTCATGTTTCTGGGTAATGGTAATAATTCTGCAGATGAACCCTGTGTCCGATATTGCTCGTAGTGATGAGGCAGCAGCTGGAGCCGTGCAGTGCTGAATATCTATAGGGTTGGGAAATGAGATAGTGGTGATTGCAGCCGGAGCATGAGGTGCACACAGATAGTCTGATAGAGTATCTGTGCACTTCATGACACCTTATCACACATGTATGATCCAGCGCATCAGAGCTCCTCACATCCCATACACCACAGGCACATGCTCGGAGCGGCAGGCACACGCTCCTCTGATTGGATCAACACATGCCCTTTGACCCTGGCTCTGATTGGTTAAGGGCTCGTCTCTTTGGGGACAGGACGGCACATGTCCGAGAGGAGCGGTCATCGGGTTTACTGTCTCCAGAGGGACACAAAGTACAGTGTGAAGGGTATTAATAGCACAGATGAGCAAGGACAAATTATATTCAAGAAAAAAAGTCTTTGCATTTTAGATGGAATTTTTGTACAGAAGATTTTCATTTGTTCGAAGTCCCAGTTTGAGGAGCACCTTGGTTAGTCTGGGAAGATCTTGAAACACTGGAGCCAGTCCCCTGTATTTTTCTCTATAGCCATTAGCATTAGCTCTCAACAATCTCAAATGATGAATAAACAGGAGGGAGTCATGTTGTACCAACCCATATGAATGTCCACTGTTATGCCTTTTCAAAAGATACATTTAGTTTTAAATGAATAGTTGCTATGGCAATGGTCCAAATTGTTTCCTCACTCTGACTCCTGGGTAGACGGATTCTTAGTAACAATTGGAAAAACATGAAAACCTGATCACTAAAATCTTCCAGGGGCACCATGTCACTTTTTGGCAGATGCTTCGCCACCTGCTTGTCTCCATGGAGATGGTATTGTTTCACCTGGAATGTTCCACAGTATGGCATTCAGTGCATCTATCTGGCATGTTTTCAGTTAGAGGAGGCTTTATTGCACTTGGCCCGGCAGCGTCCTGCTTATCTCTGTGGAGATAAGTTTAATGACACGAGGTAGAACTTTCTAGACAAAGCAACACATCTCTGAAATCAAGCAGGTGGCAGAAAAAGTTCCAAACTGCACCTTTAACAAAGATGACAAATAAGTGTGAACTTGTTTTGCTGTGGCTGAAGCTGGCGATGGCAGAGTAAACAGCAGATATGACTCTGGCTGCACATCAGATCAGTCATACGACCGTGCCATCGATAAGGGTTGGCAGCAAATCCTGTTGTATTTGATCTGAAGAATTGTTCAGATTATCTCATCGTGACAGAGCATGCTGGTTTGGCTACATCCGAAATAACCAAGAAGAGTGACACACTGATATTAGCCCTGACACAGTAACACAGTTTGAAATGTTTTATTGCTACAGCCAATATCATGATAAAGTAGAATAGTGAAACAACTTTTGCCACTGTCCATAATTCCACAAAAGAAAACATGTTGTAAAAAACATGACCTGCAAGAAATGAAAATCACAATGAATTAGTAGTTAGAAGTCACAGATATTATTTATTTGACCTCAAATGTTTTTGTACTCTAAAAAATACATAAAATACATACAAAAAAAAAGGAAATAAATGAAACCCCACAATATTGTTAAATCTTTGTATCACGTATTGAATGAATGTTCAACCAATAGTATATCAATTATCAATAATATTGGTGATATCTGAGGATTTGGTCCAGTACTGAGAGATATTTGGCACCAACATTTTATGTGCACTGCCCAAGTGTGTGTGCTGTGTCTCAATTCCAGTTTGTCCTCAGTGCAGATTCTTATGAATTTATGAATGAAAATATACATTTATATCCCATACATGTTATGATTTTTACAAAAAGCCATGATTATATCGTTTGTAAACACATAACATCAACATAACATGAAGTTGATCTGTTGTAGAGATTTGAAAAGTTTAATATCACTTTCAAATATTGTTTATCAGCCACAACAGAAAATCCAATATCAGATATTGGTATTGGCTAAAAATGTAATAAAATAAAGAGCATATTGGAGCATCCCTAATGACAGGCCTAAGTGATATTAAGAATAACCCTTGGAGAATGCAGCGTTCTGTGAGCCCCTTTGGACCCTTGTACTGGTCTCAGAGCAAACACTAGTATCTGGCAGACTGCAGGGGCTGCCTCTGTTGCAAAAGACCCTTTCACAATCTCCATGATCGATCAGGAAGTCTATGAGCTGGGACTTGTCGAGAGCTGTACTGTACATGATCCGCAGCATCTGGAGGTGGTGATGAATTTGTTTAGTAAACATGAAGTATAAATAAGCTACAGTAAATAGATGTTAACAGCACTAAACTACAGTGCAAGATATGGCCATACTTTAGAATGTACCAGTGGTAACAGCACTGACACTGACAGACCAACGGTGTGACACAAGTGACATTTATGGACCAATTACATAACAGCACTGACAATTGTAGGGCAACAGTAGTTCACTTGATTCAGTGCACGTCCATTGATCTAAAGGTTGGCAGTTCAAATCCCATTCCTACAGATGAATGCTGTTTTTGTGTCCTTGGGCAAGACACTTTACTCATCTCATCCCCAGTGTCTGTGTACACAGGTGTATGAATGTGTGTGTGAATGGGAGAGTGCTTCCTTGTTGTAAAATGCTTTGACTCCCTTGAAGGTGGAAAAGCACTATAAAAATGTGACCATTTACTACTGACATTTACTGACCAATGGTGCACTGACATTTACTGACCAATGGTGTAACAGCACTGACATTTACTGACCAGTGGTGCACTGACATTTACTGACCAATGGTGTAACAGCGCTGACACTTACTGACCAGCAAATTGATTGTTCAGCAAATTTTGGGGATCAAAGCTGAAAATAAATAAATAAATAAATCTATCTAAAGGAAATGTGCTATGTGCATATGCAAATGTGTCTCATATAACTGACGCCAAAGAGCTTTTGCCAGTTATGGATTTAACCAAAATGCTACAAAAACGTTTCCTTAAGTAAGACTACTGTTACGTCAATAAAAAATATATAAAATATAAATATAAATAAATAAATAAATATAATATATATATATATATATATATATATATATATATATATATATATATATATATATATATATATATATATATATATATATATATATATATATATATATATATATATATATATATATATATATTATATATAGTGCTAGATAAAGTGTGAAAAGTTTACTCTAGTTAAGAGTATGTATGTATACAAGTAGTCCACACCACACTGGATGTGTCATCATATAATCCTAATAATAATCCTCATAATAATCCTAATAATAATCCTCATAATAATCATACATCAGTCCCATTATAAACCTGAGCACTGACAGTCACTGATCTGTGATCCAGCATCCTGTACCAGAGTAAAGTGGTTTACCCACACAGCTCTGTGGCACATGTTGTGAACTAAAGTTGTGGCAAAAGTTTCACTTGTAAAAAAGCTTTAGGTGACGCTTTTATTTCCTGTACATTTGATTCATTTCTTTCTTTTTTTGGGAAACTGTCCATGAGAAAAGTGAAATGTGCAGCAGCTTAATTAGGCCAGAGATAAGTCCTAAGACTGAGAGAGAGAGGGATCAAGGTGTGCTCCTCACAAAGTCCCACAGGTAATCTTATCATGTGTCCTATCTCCAACGATAGACCACTGCAGTTCAGCTTAAACAGGCATTTTGCAACTTCTAATACAACAGCTTCTGTGATAAAGCAACACATTTCTATGTAATGTGTTTCCTCTACACAGCTACTATTCACACAGTTCTATGTTCATTTGGTCTATTGTGAAACATGGACACATCTGATGTGCATGAACCAAAGTAGAATCTATAGTGAATTTTTTACTGCCTTTGAAACTGTTCTGCTTTCAGTTAGTACAGTAGTGTAGATGAAGTAAAACACACTGGGAAACATGTGTTCTGTTAGAACACATCTGCACATCTGAGTCTGGACCTGACCTTTAAAGTTAATGAGGGAAACTGGGGAATCAAGAAGAAATACATCCAGGCACAGGGACAATATGCAAACTCCACACCATAAGGCCCACATTCAGATCATCAGTATGAGACCTGTCTGCTGTGAGGCCTGAGTTCCAGCCACTCAAGCACCTCTGCAAAATCTCTGCATAGTGTAGCAGTGGGACCACCTCTACAATAACAGACATATAGACAGACTATTCTAATGAATGAATCATTTTCTCTTTTAATTAAAGCTGCAGACTATTTAAATGTATTCAGATGTTATTATGGAGATGTCACACACTTGATGTGAATCTAAATCATATACATTCTACATGTTGCGCTCTGTATCAGTTTTGTAAGGGAGCCAAACCTTTTGCCTTTGTCCCTCCACACTGTAGTGTGCTCTGGACTCTGGACTGTGGTCCAGGCTCTGTCTGGGGACTATAAAAGAGCTGCTCCAGCGCTGGTCCTGCAGTCTCGTCTGAGTACTCGCCAACCCAAGAAGAGAGCTCAGAGAACCCACCATGGGGGACACTAAGCTCTTCCTTCTGCTGCTGCTCTGCACATCCCTGACCTGTGAGTACCACAGCGGCTCTGCACTGCTCACGCTCAAGACTTAGGCCTGCATGCAAATAGAGTTAAATACTTTTTAATGGCTTCATAAGGTTCACAAAAAGTACTTTAAATATCTCCTCTAGAGTTAGTCACCGCAGAAAAAGCTGGAGATATTTCTTTACAAAATGTTGTTAATTCTTTAAAAATCTAGGGAACATAATCCTACATACATGTTTAAGCAGCATGTTATTTAACAGGAGCTGAGATTCCAACCTGCTTCATGTAGAATACATACCATTGCTAACTACCGTGGTGTCTCTGTTTTGTGGCTAAATCAAATCTTAAAGTCTTGCTCAATTATTCTGTAGAAATAATACAATGATTGTTTTTTCTTTTCAATAATCCATTGCTTTCTGACAACACAAGTGCACAAGTGTAACATGATATATGGAGTAACCTTCACTACAAATATTATTTCATATTTTTCCTTTGGAGTTGAGTTGAAGTTGTGGGGTTTCTGGTTAGGCTTAGTTACATAACTTCTCTAGTGTATCCATAGGCCCTTTACAGCCGTGTACTGCACATATATACTGGAGCCGTATACTGCAGCCGTATACTGCATATGTATACTGCAGCCATATACTGCAGCCGTATACTGCAGCTGTATACTGCACCTGTATACTGCAGCCGTATACTGCAGCTGTATACTGCATATGTATACTGCAGCCGTATACTGCAGCCATATACTTCAGTTGTATACTTCAGCCATATACTTCAGTTGTATACTTCAGCCATATACTTCAGTTGTATACTGCAGCTGTATACTGCAGCCGTATACTGCAGTTGTATATTACAGCTGTATATGTCTGTGACCTTTGGACACTGCCTCACTGATCAGAGCTTTCTAGTTTCATTGCTTTCATTGATTTTTGCTTTTGCTAAAGTTACATTTTTCTACCATAATTCTCATAATAATAATAATGCTAATGTACATACATTAACATACATGTAGAGGTATTGGTAACATTTGCTGTCTTGACCTATTTGAGTTATTCAAAGTTATTCAGTGTAATTCACTGTTAATAGTGATTAACAATTTAAAACGAAATATGAATATCTTGACTGGGAAAAGTCCTCAAAATGTAGCATATAACATGTAACCTAATGTGCAGCTTCTTGCACTCCTCCAATTCTGAAAGATTGTTTTCTTTCCACAGTTGCCCAAGATGAAGAAGAACCAACCTGCAAGCGTAAGTCCCAATATACATCTACAGGAGAATATTATAATATAGACACTAATAAACGAATTCACTCTAAAATGTTTGTCCAGTTGACAGAATTGAATGAGTAATTATTATTTTGTGTGGGTGTGTGTTCAGTGGCCAAACGCTACAAGACCCTGCACAAGTACACGTACCAGTACGAAGCCGAATCCCTGAACGCCATCAGCGGAGCCTCTGCTCTCAAGAACGGACCCAAGGGATCATGCAAGGTACCAACTCTTCTATATGATGATCTACTGCTGATATACTGTGAAACATTCCAGACAAAGCAGAGCAATAAAAGAGTCTGGCTTAGAATTAGATATAAACAAACTCTTGTGCATCTATTGGAAAGTGTGTTTGGCCTGTAGTGTTTGACTCTGACCTGCTGGTGTTCCCCGGCAGGTTGAGGTCGAGGTGCCCCAGGCATGTAGCTTCATCGTGAGGACCAGCGAGTGCAGCCTGAGCGAGGTGGACTCTGTGGACGCCGACGGCAACGTGGTGTTCAGAGCAGCTGCCAGCTCCGATGCCTTCGCCGCCGAGATGGAGAAGTACGATAAGAATTACAGAAAAGACACATTATGATTTTCAACTACTTAGTACATTTGGTTAATTCTAAGATGGCAACATTGATCTAAAAAAACTTAATAATATTTATAGGTCCTGTTTAAAACTATAGACCTGTAAGGCCCATCTTTTCAAAATGGTTTCACCATAACAAGCACTAGATTTACAAGAACACAGCTTTATGGTGGAAAAATTGTTACAAGACATTACAAGTAAGCACTAAGCCTCAAAAGCAGGACAATACAGGATTACTCAAACATGCATAAATCACTCAAAATACATCTTTGAGTAAGTTAACTGAACTTCATAAACGTGGATTTTACATAATATACCTAATTTAAAATGCAGAGAAATACGTAGCTTTCAGGATTACACGTAGTTTACAGAGAGAGTTCACTAGTATTTGCAGTATCCTTTAGTCACAGAATACTCAGAATCTGTCTTTTCCACAGATATGCTCTGAAGGTCCAGATGAACGAGAAGAACCAGATCAAGCTTTACCCCGAGGAAGGCGAGACCACCACCATCCTGAACATCAAGAGAGGCATCATCTCCGCCCTGGCTGCCCCTGGCCTGGAGGACAACAAATACACAGTACGTCAACTGGAATAAGCACAAACTATGATATCGGTTTAATCAATATTATGGAACTGATACCAGATCCAGCTCATTTTTCAGCATTGACGCTGAAATTTGATACCAGTATAGTATTGTATTTAATATAAGAGAAAAGTTCATTTGTAAACTTCACTGTAATTCATTTTAAAAGTATATTATCAGTATTAGAAAATCAGATATCAGATGTCTGATATTGTCTGAAAAACGTTCATATTTGCAATTGTAATAAGAAGTATGAAGTTAAAATGGGACTGTCTTTGGTGCCCCTCAGCCCACCATCCACGGCCTGTGTAAGAACTCCTACAGCCTGTCCAGCCCCGCAGAGATGACCCTGACCAGAGACCTGTCCGGATGTGACCGCTTCGTGCCCCTCCGAGACCAGACCAGCCCCCTGGCCCTGCTCACTGGACTGGTAAGAGCATGGATACAGTGGTTAGGTTGGAGCGAGGAGCTATTTCATTATTTAATGTAGAGTTTGAATTGCATTTGTATTTACTTTTGAGATTATGTAGGAGCCCCTCAAAAAAGGGCATACCGTTTCAAATAACAAGTCAGCTATGTTTGTATTCAAAGCCCTGTAGTCTCAAATCAACTTGAATAAAAGTACTGAAGTAAAGAGAATAAACCTGGCTGTGTGTTTGGCAGCACTACCCTCTGGCTCAGCTGGTGCGCAGCTCTCAGACCTGCAACTACAAGTATGATGAAGAGCAGAACCACATCGTGTCTGGAACCTGCACTGAGAAACACCTCCTGGTGCCCTTCTCCTCCCAGTCAGTAACATCTTATGTTTATTGGATCTATCATCCATGTATGAATGAAGGGGTGACATGTGTCACTGCTGCTGTTTAACCACGACTTCTCTGTGAACAGGGGAGAATACGGAGTAACCAATGTTGGAAAGCAGGAAGTGACTTTGATCGAGGTCGCCCCCCACAACGACAGAGTTTTTGACCTTGGTGAGCCACCATACTTTGACTTCCTTTAGTAGAAAGTGCTTTAGTAGAAAGAGTAGATCTGATATATTGTATTCGTTTTATTGGTAATGTTCTGGGACGACTAATGTAGTGCCACCTGCTTGTTTTCGTCTAGATGTTATTGCTTTCAAATGTTACAGCATTCAATTATATTATGGCATTAAAATTATATACGTAGGGTTTTTTGTTTTTTGGTTTACCTTGAAATAGGACCTTCTCAGTGTGAGTAAAGTCACCTCTCTGTAGATATTTTCTGTCTCCATGACAATTGATACATGTAATGCCAAAGTGTGGAACATTTCAGGCAACGTAATAATAAATAATAATTGCACAGCCCCAGATGAAACTCTTATTTTGTGCTGCTTTTAGGCCCCATCGTGAAGGACCTGAGCGTCGACATGGTGGAGGATCGTACCATGACCCAGGACAGGGACGCCGGTCTGGAGCTGCTGAGGAAACTGGCTGCTCTGCCTGAGAGCGAGGGAGAGACCAGAGCCCACCTTTTCCACAAACTGGTGCTGATGGTCAGAGGCATGAAGCTGGACACCCTGAGCCCCGCTCTGCCCGAGGCCATGGAGATCTCCCCCATGCTCACCTACCAGGTCCTGGCCCAGTGCGGCACCCCCGAGTGCAGCAGTGTCATCATGGAGCTCCTGAGGTCCCGCCCCACTAGCGGCCCCGAGGTTGATGCTTTCGTCTATGCCCTGGGACTGGTGTCCAACCCCTCCCCCGTCCTCATCAACGACATGCTGCAGATGGCCCAGCAGAGACCCAGCAAACCAGTGCTGTACGCCCTGAGCAACGTGGTCAACAGGTGAGTGTTCTGTGCTACTACTACTACTATTACTAATACGACTACTACAACTACTATTACTGAGCTCAGGGATTTTCACCTCTCGTGCACACATGCACAGGGAGTCATTCAGTGCTTTCAGATGTCATCCAGGATTCATAGAACTGTAGTTACCAACATAACTGTGCTTATGTATAGTACCAAAAAGAAGAGTTAATGTAACTGTTATTACAAAATACTATAATAAATACTATAAATACAAAATAATACTAAAACTATACACAAAAAGTATATAAGTATAAGAAAACAGTAGAATACAATATATTCTATTTCCAGCTAGACTGTTGTCAGTTAAGACTTGGGCGGGATGCCCACTCCAGTCACAGTATACTCTGTGACTGCTGTAATGTGGCAGCCTTAATAAGAGGGAAGATACAATTTAATATTAATAAGGAGTAACCTCTAAATACTTGCCTGTCTCATGTTCCAGATTCTACAAGGCTGAACGTCAGCTGGTGCCTGAGATCTTCTCTGTGGCTCGCTTCATTGTTGGTCAGCTCGGAGACTGCTCTGGAGACAAAGACCAGACGTTCCTCACTCTCAGGGTACGCTGTCTGCACCAAAAACATCTCAAATAAAAACTGCTCATTCTGTCAAATGTGACAAATATACACATTATGATGTACAGATGAATATTAGCTCCTTTATTTCTGCTCTTTGTGCTTTTATAACAAGAATGGTCAATTCTTTATTATCAAATGAGTTCATACTTAAACTTGTTTGCAGGTGATTGGAAACATGGCCCCTGCTATGGCTAACTCTGGCCCTGCAGTCAGAGGCGCTGTGCTGGAGTGTGTCAACAAACCCGAGGCTGCTCCTGAGATTCAACTGGCTGCCATTCAGGTCTTCAGACAGACCCCCGTGCCCGAGGAGGTAAGAGCCCTGCCACTGCTCTGGTGGAGAACATCAGCACTAACTTTGGCATCTGGAAAGTACCGGGCTGTACAGTCACTTCAGATTTATTCATAATTAAATGGAATATATCTGTTTTAACAAACCTAAAAGAAAGAGGCATTAAAAATACTCAAGTTAAAGCATTCAAAAGTACTACCAACAAATGTACAGTAAACAGTAAATGAACCGTAAATGTACTGCTCCTAATTTCAAAATAATATAAAAATAAAATTGACATTTAAATTTTTGCATTTAACCACGTTACAAATAAATAAAATAAATGAAAATGACCCCGTGCTCTCTCTCCTCTCCTCCAGGGCAGAGAGACTCTGATGCAGGTGCTCCTGGACAGCTCTGCTCCCGTTCAGAAGAGAATCGCCGCCTACCTGGTTCTCATGAGGGACCCTCAGCCCAGTGAACTGGCCCAGCTCATGTCCGCCCTGCCCACGGAGCAGGACGCTCAGATCAAGAACTTCATCATCTCCCACATCAAGAACATTGGCACCTCCACTGAGCCCGCCACTCAGGAGTAAGTCCTGCTTCTGCCTGACCACACATTAGTCTTTTAGTCTAGAACAAAATACAGCTGACCTCATGTTTTTGGATCCATTTTAAATCCATTTATATAGTTTTACCGTAATGGTAAACTAACAAAATACAACAACACAAATCAACTCGAGATCTAATTTTTAATCTGCCAATCACAAAATCTAAGAATAAAAAACAAAATGGTCTAAAAGTGATACTTTTTAAATGTAAATAATATTTTCAGTTGTCTACAATCTTTATTTTACAGTCATGTTTCAATAGTAAAAGTTATTAGGAGTGATTATTTTAGGGGGAAAACTCCCATTGCTAACTAGTGCATATTGATTTTCTCTTATCCAGACTGAGACAGAAGATCTTTGACGCCACCGGAGACAACCAGCTGGGACCTGTGGAGGACAGCCTGAAGGTCTCCAGGAACCTGAAGTTGGGAGTGCTCCAGAGCAACGTGATCTTCGAAGGAGTCAGCTACCTGCCCAAGGAAGTTATGCTGGAGATGACCCTCAAGGCCTTTGGATTCGACCTGGACATGATGGAGGTAGGACGTTCAAGTTAATATTGTTTTTACAGTCTAATTTGCTTAGTTATTCATTTTATAATGTTGAACAACTATTTTTCATAAACTCCAAAGCATTAAGGAGGTCATTTCCTCCAGAATGTATGAGTTGTGTGGGTTCTCTCTGGTTGAAATTCAAGTTATTACAATATTTTGTCTGTAAGTGAGGCTTAACCCCAAACACTTAACAGAGATTTACCTTAAATCGTTAAACTTATTCAAAGTGCTCTTAAGTGCAGCTGCTGCCACATTTGCATGAATCTGTACATGCCAAATTTGTCTTTGCATTGCCCAGCACAGGCGACACTGCATCCACACTTGATAAGTTCATAGCATGTGTCCTGCTGGGGGAGCATGGTCCATAACATTAATCAGTGACTGCCATCACGCTTCCATCCCCAGTCTGCAGGCCTGGAGAGATCTGGTGTCTTAAAATACTAAAATTCTTAATGGTGCATTATAACTTTTCTGGTGGGGGGTCCAACCTGCTTCTTTCATGAAGATGTTATAGCTTTGCGTGGAATGTTCCACTGTATGACATTAAACATATCAGTCTGTGTTTATTCAGTTAAGGACTGAAAATGTGTTTTGCTCAAATACATAAAATACAGACATTCTTCCATTTAGCAGGGTCTCGTCCTTGTCACCAGGGAGATGGATAAGTTTAATGTCATACTGTAAAAGCAAAGCAATAACATCTCCATGGAAACAAGCAGGTATTTTACCTTCCATCGGAAATGTTACATTGTGCATCTTTAAAGACCTTAAATTGTATTGTCCTTTTACATAGTCTGTATCTCACATTACTGGAAGCAAAAAACATTATTTCAGCAGTTTAAGCACAAAATTAAACTGAATTTTTTTAAAAAACAAAAATTTGACTTTAATTTTAACATTTGAAGCTAAAACATAGTAAATTTGTGTTCTTAATAATGGGTTTATATCTTTATTACAATCCATATCTCACTGTAGTACAGTGTGAACAGAGCCTCCCTCTTTAGATGAGATTATAGTCTGAACATCTGCAGATCATTCCAGATTGAGAGATCACAATGAAAATACAACACCATTTTAAAACCAGGTCGAATCTCACCTTAATTTGGTCATAATCTCAAATCAGCCTCTCCACAGTTTCAAAGGTGTTCTCAGTCTAGTGTGGGATTACTAGAATGAGCCGTCCACCTCTGCTCTTGTCATTATTGTTATTATGATACTGTGATGTGTTTTCGGGGGATAAATTCACTTGTAATTTGTAAAAGTAAGTCTTAATTTATATAGGGCTTTTCACAGACACATGTCGCAAAGATGCCGAACAGAGCTTCATTCACTCCATACCCAGTGATGATGTGCTACTATTGTGGCCACAGCTGCCCTGGGGCAAACTGATGGAAGCTCATTTTTACGCATTATTGGCCAGATTATTTTACAAACGTACCTAGTTTGTTCTAAAAAAAAAAAAAAAAAAAAGAACCCCAAAACACTAGAAACAGTAAATGATACTATTAACTGTGTTACTGTGTAACTTTTTGACTGGGGGTCCGCCACCTGCTTATTTCTGTGGAGATGTCATTGCTCTGCCTGGAATGTTCCACAGTGTGACATTAAACAGCTCTACTTCACATTTATTCAATTACAGGTGGTTTTAGAGCTAAAAAACACCTAGAAAAACAGACATTGTGACTGTGAGCGGGTCGCCTCTCCACAGATCTGACCTGTAGCTTGGTCTGGTTTAGCCTCCATGAAGACAGAAAGGTTTAATGCCATACTGTGAAACATTCCAGATGAATTAATAACATCTCCATGGCAACCAGAGAAGTTACACAGTGCACCTTTAAAAAACACCATTAGTTTAATAGCAAATATTTGTTGTGATTTAATTTTTACTTTCACTTTAAAAACAGCTTTGAAAACCACTTTGCAGTAGCTTGTATCTTGAGAATACATATTCTTCTTTATAACCTATATGATATTTTAACATTATTTTCCAAAAAAAGCAGTTTAAGCAGTAATTTAGCTCCCAGCCTTGTTTCCATGTCAGTCATTTTGTGACATGTGCAGTACTCGGCTCCAGGGACGACTTGGGCTTGGTTCAATATCCAGAAATCTCAGGGATGTTAATAATCTGGCAAAGTTTCATGCTTGTACCATAAAAATGAACAATTGGGCACTATTTTGGTCTTTAACAGCTCCACTACGATGGATTCTCGGGAGTTTATAAATATCATAGATATCACAAATACATCTTGCTGTGCAAGGTTAGACTAAACCAGGTCTCTTTGTCCCATGTTGCTTCTAGGTTGGTATGCAGGGCAAAGGCTTCGAGCCCACCGTGGACGCCCTGTTTGGAGAGAATGGCTTCTTCCCCGACACAGCCCTGAAGACCATGTACTTTGTGTCAGATAATGTGCCCCAGATGCTCCAGAACGTGCTGCCCGGCCTGAGGAGCGACCGCAAGAAGAGACAGGTAAAAGCCAAGAAACTGCTGTCAAATAAGGCATAATTATATAAATGTATATGTACAAGTAAAAATAAAATAGAACAGAATACTCATTTCTCCTCCTATCTCCAGGCCTCTCAGAACCTGGTGAAGGACCTCAGCCAGAACCTGAAGAAACTCGTGAACGACCTGAAGAGCTCTGATGCCCCCGAGGCCACTATTTACCTGCGTCTCCTCGGCAATGAGCTGGGATACCTGAAGACCAACGAGATGGAGCAGATGGCCTACTCCGCTGCCATGTTTGTGGACTCCATGCTCAAGATGTTCCCTGTCGACGTAAGCACAAAATATTCTCACCTTCTCACATGACATTTGGCTTAACACTGAAGATAGAACAGATTTTAGATTACACTACCTTAAAAATGTGCAAAACAGGACTAAACAGGTTCAAAGTTATTCCTCACTTACCTTATATAATCAAAGCGTAACTATTCAGCACGATGAGTTCCTAAGAGCTTTTTACACAATAGATCTGTCACATTTGCTCATATACATGTTATAGGCTCTTTAATCGCAGTAATGTTTGTAATATATTTAGATCCATCATTGTAGATTTATAACACAAAAGCACAATACTTTTCTACGTACTTCGCACATGTATTCACTTCCACACACATTCATTCATAGTATTGTGTGATTGCAGGTTGTGAAGGCCCTGACCACCATGACCGACACCTCTCTGTACGCTCACTACATCTTCATGGACAATGAGTTCTTCCTGCCCACTCTGACTGGTGTGCCCCTGAGGATCGCCCTGTCCGGAACCTTCGCACCTGGCATCAAGGGAGGACTCAAGATCTCCCCTGAGATGGTGAGAACCAACATTTATGGGACTAAACTTGGGGACTATGTATAGATTTAACCCTGGACTAGATCAAGACTGCATTTCTGACTAAAATAGTAGCTTTAGTCTTTCTCAGTATGGCATAAAACTTGCATATCTCCATGGAGAATGTTCTGAATTTTCTATTTCTATGGAATCACACAGGTGACTTTCCACCTCCAGAAACTTGCGTACTATCACTTTAAACTAGTGGGGCAATTTTAAGCATTCTCTTTCGCACCAGATGATTCTAAGTTCAAATCTGTTAGAGCCCATACAGTGCAACAATGCGACCACTTCACTGTATCAACTTTACAGTTTCTATAACAGTACCTTCATTTTATTTATCACTTAACCTATTGTATTGCTAACTATCTTTCCTATCTGTCTGTATCCCCAGAGCGAGGTAGCCTTCATGCCCTCTGCTGGCATCGAATTTGTGACCCAGGTTGGCACCTTCATCTCTGACTATGTGGACTCTGGTCTGGAAATGCACACCAACATCTTCCATGAGTCTGGACTGAGCGCCAAGGTGACCATCGAGAAGGGACAGGTCCAGCTGAGACTGCCCGCCCCCCAGACCAAGACCAAGCTCGTCCACATCACGTAAGGCCTCAGAACATGATCTGAACATTTGAGGGGATTCTCCTGATAACTTTATGCCACTGACACAAAGTTGGATAATGCCAGTAAACCAATATTTAAATAGGCAGTATCATTCAAAGGCCTGAGCTCCAACAAATAAACAGCAGAATGAACAAACAAGTAGCTATAGTTATCAGAACAATACTAAAACATGCCTTAGATTTCTTAGTTAAGGTTCAAATATGTAAAATAATCAAATAAATAAAACATCTTTTAATAATATGTGAATCTGACAGTGTTGTAGATTATATATCACCACTCAGTATATACATATACTAGGCAATACAGTATTCAACATCTTCTAAGCATGTTTTAAACGTGCTTCTTTGGTTGACCTTTAGGAACAGCCTGGTGGCCCGCTCTGGAGCTGAGACCATGGTGATCCCTCCTGTCCCCATGGACGTTGTCAGCGTAGATGAATGCACTCCCTTCTTCTCTGGAATGAAATACTGCTACGCTCTGCAGTACAATGATGCCTGGAACGTAGAGAGGACCCCCTACTTCCCCTTCACCGGAGACAGCAAGTGCGTAACACATCAGGCGGTGCAAATACGAGCAGTGATAATGTTAAAGGTCAGTTTGGGTGTTTAAAATGGTGCTAATGGTTGTATTGTTCCCATAGGTTTGCTGTGGAGCTGATGCCCACTGGTGAGGTGACTGAGTACACTGCCACTTTGGCCTATGAGCTGCTGCGTGAGGGAGAGGAGGGCAAGCAGAAGGTCGACGCTCTGAACTTCATCCTGAGAGCTGAAGGTAGCGCCACACATCTGAAAACGATGACAATGACACAAAGATGCTATTAGTTCAATACTGTCTAAATCAATTACAAATACAGAAGACATAAGAAAAACTTTACAGTTATTATTATTAATTCACTCCACAATCACTGGTGGTAAGATACTACTGAAGCAAAAGCTGCCCTAGACGGAAGAGAGGCTGCCAGTCGGGGTAACAGCCCCTCCGACCACCACCAATCACTCGATTACTACATTTATACTAGGTGATGAGTGCTAAGTGTCTTGCCTAAGGACACACTGACAGTATGTACTAGAACAGGGGTGGCCAAACTTTTTTTCAGTCTGTGCTGCATATTGAAACATCTGATGCAGAACACCACAAACTGGATCAGTAGAGCAGATCATTCAGATGGATGCATTTTACACACTTTCCAAGACTTTAAAAAGGCTTGGAACACAAATTTTAGACCCACATTTAGATTTTATGACTCACCAGTGATAAGGATGATACATTATTGACACTGTTCAACCATTGTGTTCTCAGGAGCTGAGCCCACAGAGGCCCGTGCCATCCTGAAGTACAACCGCAGGAGGAACGTGGTGACAGCCGAGGTGCAGATCCCAGACCTCGATGTGGAGGCTGGACTTAGGGTGGGCATCGTGGATGGGAACACCAAGGGCAAAGGAACCCACTCCATCTCCCTGGACCTCATCAACAAGAACATCCCACAGCTGTCTCTGGTCGGACGTGCCAAGTAAGACAACTTTAAATTTTACCTTTTACCAATTACCAACACTGACTTAACATAGAAAAGTGTCAACTCAAGAACTAGTCAACTACAATACACAAATGTATCAGGTGGATGTTCTGCCACCTGCTTGTCTCCAATGTCTCCGCAGTACAGCATTAAACTTATTCATTCCCATGGAAGCAAGCAGAGGCCAAGTGATGGGGCAGATTTGTGGAGAGGCAAATAAATACCAGATAGATATGTTTAATATCACAGCATTAGCATGTCCATGCACAGTCATATTGCACAATCATATGACAACATGGCAGAAAAAAATTCCCTAATATTAATCAATCCAAATGTTTTGCTGTTTTTTTTTTTTTTATATAACTTTCTTATAACGTATAACTTTTCTTATTTATTTTCATATAATTCAATAACAATAAAAGTGTTTTAAATCTCTGTAGTAAAATGTTCCTCTGAAGTCTGAACTCTGCTCTGAACAACTGCTATATATAGTACTTTTATTGTCTTCTTACACTAATAGATTCAAGAAGTATGTAACTGTTACATCTGTGTTTTCCTAAAGATATTATAGTCAAACCATACAACAGTTTTCGATGTATTTAAAGTGTGCACTTGTTTTGCTTCTCAGGCTGAGGGAGATGACTGAAGGCATGCTCCAGCTGCAGATGCTGGTGCCAGCCCTGAACGCCGATGCCACTGTCACCGCCAACCTCAAGCGCGACGAGGAGATCCAGCTGGAGCTCAAGAGCAACATCAAGGTCCTGGAGGCCAAATCCGAGCAGAAGATCACTCTCAAATACGGTAAATGGCTTTAAAGTAAAGGAGTATATATCTAACTCAAATATGTTAAAATATGAATTAAAGGTCCACTATGTTACTTTGAGAGATGAAGATTTTATTTCTTCGCTTGGAAAATTCCATAGCATGCCATTAAACTTTTCTACCTTGTAATTATTCAGTTACAGGAGTTTCTATTGCTCAGAAACACCTTGAAAGACATTAATGCTTATAGTGACAATCCTTTCTTTCTGACCTGTAACTTGGTCTGGTTGCATCACTGGCTTATTTCTATGGAGATAGTAAAAGTTTAATGCTATAAATTCAGGAGTAGCAATGACCTCTCTATAAAAACAACAGGTGTAGGGCCAGGTACCAGAAAAGTTATATAGTGCACTGTTAACTAAAATCAAAATCAGAAACACCAAAAATAAAAACCCTTTTGCAGGGAAACACTGAAGACTAAATAAGGAATAAAAGTCTCAAAACATCTTTTGACATCTTTGCAGACGGCAGCAAAGTCGAGGCTGAGATCAAGTCTGACATGAATGCTGAGACAGCCAACCTGCCTCTGGGAGAGATCCTGGCCACGTACGGAGAGCAAGTCCTGGAAACTCAGGTTGGACAGACCGACATGAAGGTCCGCCACATCTTCACTAAACTTGTGGAGGTAGGACAAGAACATGTAGATATTATACTTATAAATTTAGTTTTTGCCTTGTTCTAAACTCATTTGTCACATTACAGGCTTCCAACAACTACATGGAGAAGTATGGTGCTGATCTCCCATACATCCAGAACTTCAGAGTGCCCGATATGCCCGAGATGACCATGCCCGAGAGACTCTTCCTCAATGCGTAAGACATTACATTCATTTATTGTTTTTATCCTACTCTACTATTCTCCATACCAGTCTTCCATACTGATATTGAATCTAAAGATCAAGGCTAAGTAATCTAAGGGCCACCACACACTACAGGAGAATTTGCCTGATTTAGGCTGTGATTGACTTCTCCTTGAGTTTGGGGAGGTGGCTTAGTGTCTTTTTGTGTGAAGATCAGATTTCAGTCTTCCCTCAGATCCTATTATTCAAATAATAGTTGCAAAGATTGCCTGAAAAAACTAAAGATTAAGCTATAGGGACATAAATATAAACAAAACAAACAGTCTGTAAATAAGGTAACTGCAAAAACAACATCTAACCCACAACCTGTTTTCTCTCTTACAGTGAGACCAAGGCTGTGTACTACTTCAACAACGAGCGCTGGTCCGTGTTCATCCCCATGCCATTGGGAGGAAAATCCACCATGGACTTCAACTTCCCCGAGGTCCTGAACACACCCCAGATCTCTGTGCCTCAGATCGGACTGGAAATTGTGTCCATGGAGATCCCAGTGCCTGAGCTGTTTGTGCCCGAAGGCTTCACTCTCTACGTCCCTCTCTTCGGTAAAGCTGAGGTTTCCGCCATCTTGAAAAGCAACCTCTATGACATGGATGCTACAGTGGTAGCCGGCAAAGACATTGTGGAGACACCAAGCTACTCTGCTACTGTCGCTGTGACTGGAACCTCTCCAATTGATGTCCTGTCAGTTAAATTTGAAGGTAATTAACAAAAATATTCTCTATAATTTTGCAGTATAGCTCTGTCCAAACTAGCAAAGCATAGACACATTTGAAAAAGGCTTAACCTCATATAACTAAAAGACATATTGACAGTGTAAATGATAGGTAACATTGGACATTTTTTAAAATTCTAGTGCAATCTGAAGTTCCTTCTTTAACTTATTAATAAATAACCATTTTATTTTTGTTTTAGGTTTGGGTATGGTAGTCCCTGCTGATGCCCTGAAGGCCCAAGTTAAGGGATCTCTCGTGCACAAGTTCCTTGAGGCCAATGTGAATATTGTTGAGGAGGCAAGTCTGGCTGACAAACTGACCTACAGCTCTAACATCAAGGCTGATGCCACTAGCCCCCTTGGAGTCAGTGTGAAAGTTGAGCACAATGGTGTTGCTGGACTGAACACCGAGAAGCTCACCATTGACAGCAACTTGGATGGTTTGCTCAAGGCTGGCGCTGTCTATGCGAAAGCAACCTCATACCAGTCTGCCAGCGTTGCTCCATTCACCCCAGAAGCTAAGATCGAATCCTCAGTAGAGATCGATTCCACTTTTGTCAAGGCCCAGAACACCTTCAATGCAGAGCTTCTTGATGGTGCCCTCTCAGTGCTGTCCAACACTAATGCTTTCGATGGTACCGTTGTGCATATTGCCTCAGTCGACTTCAAAGACCAGAAACTAACTGTGAAATCTGATGCTAACGCTGAAGTTATGGGTCTGAAGATGAAGAACCAAATCGAGGCCGCTGCCGGTGCTGGTGAGGTTGTTATGAGAATGGAGACCAACTCTGACTATGCTGAGAATCGTGTATACTCCCTGATGACCGCCTCTTTGAACGCCGAAGGTCTTGCTGTCAACAATGATGCTACCCTTAAGCTCCTGAACAACGAGGCTATCCACAAGGCCAACATCAAACTGAGTCAGGAAGGTCTGGTTGTGAGCGGCACCAACACCCTCCAGAGCCCACTCTCTGTTGAGAACACCTTCAACGGTGTAGTCGACACTTCCAAGGCTACTCTTTCCATCATCAACAAGGCTGCTTTGTATGACATGAAGGTTGACAATGCTAATTCCCTGACCGTCACCCTTTCCAGCATTGAATTCACCTCAACGGCTGAAGCTCTGGCAAGTGAAGATGTCACTTACACTCATGACATTGCCTTCAACATGAAACCATACACTATTTCTGCAAATGTTAACAACAACTTGAAACTCCTGTCAGCCAACGTCATCAATGAGGCCCAGCTTCAGGCAGAGCTGTACAAGATTGACTTGACTGGAAGTGTGAAGGCCATCTATGGTGAGGAAGAAATCAAACACATCTATCAGATCAACTACGCTGATATGGCCGCCAATGCCAAATGCAGCACCACAGGCAAGGTGCTCGGTACCCACATGAACCAGAACACTGAGCTCGAGGTGATTGGTCTGGCTGCCCGCTTCTCCCATGATGCCCGCTTCAACTCCCAGCCCACGCGCTTTGACTACACCGTCCGCAGCAGCGTTGTTCCCTTTGACTTCAACCTCGATGCCATCTTTAACGCTGATGGTGACCTGACCCTCTATGGAAAGCACTCTGCTCAGCTCTACGGCAAGTTCCTTGTCAAAGCTCAGCCTCTTGCCTTTGCCAACACCCAGGAATGGAGAGCTTCAATGACTCAGGCCCTTGACAATGGCATGGCTCTTGAGACCACCTTCGACAACAAGTGGGACACTGCTCTGTCTTTGGAGGAACAGAAAACAAGCTTAAGAGTGAGGTCAAAGATGAACAACCATGCATTCAACCAGGACTTGAGTCTGTACAACACAGCTGAGAGGATGGGAGTTGAGATGGCCGGTGCCTTGCTGACAAACCTCCTCAACCAGGAGAATGCAGAAAACCAGGAGTTCAGCATCTCTGGCTTTGTGAAGTATGACAAAAGCACCAACATGCAGGTCATCCAGCTTCCTTTCATTGAGTCACTCCCCATTGTTGTGGAAAACCTGAAGGGTGCCATCGTCTATGTAGCAGAGGCTGTCCTGGACTTCATCAACAACGAGGAGGTGCGCGCTAAACTGGAAGCCATTCCTCAGCATGTCAGCAACTTCATTGTTCAGCTGAACCTTGAAGAGAAGATTAATGGGCTCAAGCAATTCCTTAGCGACCTCACTCAGGAGTATGCAATCACCATGGAAGATGTTGAAGGCCTTTTGAGAAACCTGAACGAGACAGTGAAAAATGTGCTTGCCGATTTCAGTTCCTATGTGAGTCAGTTTGTTGCCAAGATGAAAGAGATTATGGAGAACATGACCCTGCCTGACACCATTGTGCAGACGATTCAGGAGCAGCTCTTGGCCATTGATGAGGCATATGAAATCAGACCTCTGATTGTTTATGTGATCGAAACCGTGAGTGACATGATCCAGCAGTTCAACATGGAAAAACTCAGAGGAAGTGTGCTTGAGATCCTTATCGACCTTGACAACCAATTTGATGTCACAAAAACAGTAGCCTGGGCCTTGGACACTTTGAAGAGAGTGGTTCAGGAATTTGATGTCCAGCAGATCTACCAGCAGTTGAAAGACATTGTTGTATCCATTGACATCAGATCTCACATTGACGAACTTATGAATGTGATTCCCACTGAGATGTTCAGCGATGCTTCCGATTACATCTGGAAAGTCATTCAGGACCTTGATGTTGTGGGCAAATTCAACGCTGTCTATGCTAAAGTAAGAGAGCTCCTTGTGCAATTTGAAGTTGACCAGAAGGTGCAGGCTCTGCTGGAGAAAGCTGTTGAGGTCATCAAACAAGTCAAACTTGAGGAAACCATCTCTGCTGTTGTTCAAATGGTCAAAGATGCTGACATCCCAACTAAAGTTGTGCAAACTGCCCAGAGCTACATTGAATACATCAAAACAACTGAGATGAAGGACATCATTGCAAACCTGAATGCCTTGATTGAGAGTCTGGTTCAGAAGCTGAACTCTATGGAGTACAATGAATGGGTGAACAACCTCAACCAGCTTATTGCTCAGTACACCACTTACATCAATGATGCTATCAAGACACTGGAACTCCCAGAGAAACTCCAGGTGCTGAGGGATTATGTCAACTATGTTTTCACCACTGTTAAGGACATCAGCGCACGCCTGAGAGAAGTCAAGGTTGCAGAAATTGTAAAATCTGTTCAAGGCATTGCAGTTCAAGCTGTCGATTACAGTAAGACCTTGGTTGACTATGTGAAGCAGCAAATTGAAGGCCTGGAAATCAAAGATTACGTCACATCTGGACTGCAGATTGTCAGTGAAATCTACACAGAAGTCCTTAGAATAGGTAACAGAGTGCTCGTCAGTGCTGTTGACTTCATCAGCCAGTATGCTCCAGACCAAAAGTTCTTGGAAGATGTGAAACAGATGGTCACTGGAATATTGGATGGACTGAAACAGGTAGAGCTGAATACTCCATCATTCACTGTGCCTTTGACTGATCTTGAAGTGCCTACCATGAAGTTCACACTGGCATCCCTCCAGGAATTTGAGATCCCAGTCCAGATTGACCTTCCTGAGTTCACAGTCTTGGGCAAGTACACTGTTCCTGCCACCACAATTGCCTTTGCAGACATCAAGGACAAGATCTTCCAGCTGATTGAATACGTCATGAACTTCAGCTTCCAGATGGTGGATGTGGATGCTTTCTTTGGAGAACTGAGCTTGAACTTCCTCCCCCCCATGCCAGAGATCGCTTTCCCAGAATTCACTCTGTCTGACATCTCCTTCCCAGCCATCCCAGAGGTGCCTGTGGAGAAGTTTGTCAAGTCGCTGCAACTGCCCGAGATCAAACTGCCAACCATCCCAAGCGAATTTGCCATCCCAAGCTTTGGCAAGCTCTACGGAGAGTTCAGAGTGCAGACCCCAATGTACACCACCAAGACAACTGCTGAGCTGCAAAACTCCACTGAAAATGAGCAGAGTCCTCAGTTGACCGCCTTCATCACTTCTCAGGGTGTGTCCCCAGCTTTTGACATCTTCAACTACAAGATTGATTCCACAGCTCGACTTGCAATCCCCAAGATGAGTCGTATTGTCATTGGTGAGACTGTGAAATTCGAACATGTTGCTCTAGGAGTTGAACATCAGGGATCTCTGAACCTCTATGGCAAATCTGCCCAAGCCCAGGCTAAGACCACAGTGAAGGTTGCAACCGCACCATACACAGCTGACTTCATGAACACCGCCTTTATTGGACTTGAAGATGGCATGTCTGCTTCTCTTGAGACCACTTTCAATCAGATCGTTGATATGCCCGTCTTCAATGTCAAACTTGAAGCCAATGGAGCTCAAAAGGCAATTGTGCGTCTTGATGGCCTGAAGATGACCGTCACAGTTGACAACACAGGTAAAACTGCCTACAATGGTGAGGAGGGTAACCACAAGAGCAACCTCGACTTGACACTGACTCCTAGCCTGATCACTCTGACCTTCAATGGTGACACTGATTCTGCAATTCTCAAGATGAAGCAGGTGGTGAACGCTGAAGCTGGTACCCTTAGCTATCTTAAATTCAACATCCGCAACGAGGCTGAGACACCCTTCCTCAAGTCCAGTGAGCTTGTAGCAGTTGGACAGGCTAACCTCTTCGACATGAAGGTTGATATTTCTGCCAACCACAACTCCGAGCTGGTCGGTCCAGTCCAAGGCAACATTGCTAATGATTTCAAGTACGTAATCAGCCCAAGAGAGTTTGTTTTTGAACTGAAGAACAAGGGTACCAACAAAGTCAACCTCCTCGGATCTCTCACAGCTAAGTTGGATGCTCAGAATGAAATTTCTGCCTACCTGAGCTCTGAGATGCAAAAGATCAACACAGTCAACATGGTACGCTTCAACAAGAACATGGTCTTCGTCAACATCACCGTGGACAACAGTGAGAAAGACATTGCAGTCATTCTTGGCATTGATGGACAGGCCAACCTCGACTTCCTGACTTCTCCCATCAGCATTCCAGAGATTGAGCTTCCATTTGTTGACTTCCGCACACCAGAAGTGAGCAACCTGAATCTGTATGAGCAGACAATCCTGAAGGACCTCTTGACCACCACTGAGCAGTCTGTGAGCCTTGATGCCAAAGTTGCCTACCAGAAAAGCATGGCTCCTCGACTTTTTGACATTATGGGTCTGATTCAGGTTCCAGATCTTGGCAACCTTGTCACAGAATTGACCTTTAAATCTGCCATCATTAACCTGAACCTCAATGCTGCTCTGGAGACCGAGGATGACATTGTTTTCCGCCTGGGAGCTACCACCGCATCTGTATTTGACAGTCTGAAAGCTAAACTTGACGGCACCACCAGCCTGACCACCAGAGGAGGACTTAAGTTGGCTAACTCTCTGTCTCTGGAGAACCAGCACATTGAAGGCACTCATGACAGCACCGTTAGTGTTAGTACTGAGACCTACGAGGTTACTGTCTCTGTCGCCACACTTGGAAAAGTTGCCCTGCCTATTCTCAACCTGGAAATCAATCAGAACTTGGTCGCAGACAACAAAGTCAAGCCCAATGCTGCTTCCACCTTGAGGGTGAACGGTCAGCTCAACATCCCCACAATTAATGCTGTGGTAAAGGCTGAGGCAGAACACAGCACCAAGACAGAGGTAACTTTTGAATACCTGTCAGTGGAGACCTCCAACAGGGCCAACATGGACGGAACCATCCTGGAGGACTATCTGGTTTTGGGAGTGCTGGACAATGAGCTGAACTTCTACCTGAACAAGGACGGTCTTCGCTCCAATGCCAAGGTTATCGCTGACACCAAGCTGAACCAGGGCGCAAACAAGATCTTTGCTGTTGATGTAAATGAGAATCTGGCTGTTGAAGCTGCTCTTAGCCGTGTCTACATTGTGCAGAAGTACACTGGAAACAATGAAGCCAACCTGTTCAGCTTCAACACCAAGGGGCGCCATGTTGCCGAGGCAACCATCGACCTTGCCCCCATCTCTTCCCTCTCTGCCGACGTTGAGATTGACCTCTCTCAGCCCACCAACTTTGGTGATCTTAGCATCTATGAGAAGGCAACAGTTGAGTGGACCGCTGACAACAACAAAGTTGCATCCACCAGCAAGTTTGTGAGCCCTGTCTACACAACCAACTTGGTGATCGAAGCTGAGAGAGCATACCCTGTCCTGAAGGTTATTGCCAAGGCCTCTGCTACCTCTCCCCTGAGCCTCCTGGAGTATGACATGGATGGTAAGTTCAACCTATTACATACACTCATAGAAATATATTTTAGCACTGGATTACTAATCTTCCATTATTTGTATTTTTGCAGCTTCTTCTACCACAAACTATGAGGATGCCCTGAACATGAACAACAAGGTTGTGCTGACCCATGCTGCCATGAATGTGGATGTAACCCATGTTATTACTCAGGCTTTTAGGTAAGTTTGGATCCTTTAAGAGCGTTATAATTAACATTATGTAAAAGCATTACACAAACTGAAAGTATTTCATATGAAGTAATATTTGTTGTTTTCTTGATTTTCAGGAGAAAACGCCAGGCTGACGACAGGTAAATATCAACATTCTGTTTTACTCTTTAAGTAGATTTCATTTTCTTGGAAGATTATGAGTCATCTATAGTTCTCCCAGATTTGAGAATAAAACAGCAGTAATTCAAAACTTAACAATGTACAGTGAAAACAGTAAAACAAAACAAACAAAAACAAATATATATATATATATATATATATATATATATATATATATATATATATATATATATATATATATATATATATATATATATATATGCAGTTATTATTATTTTTACTCTTTACTGGTCATTATATGATCATAGGATTAATTTTATTAAATTTTTTGCAGCTCTCGCCACACTTTGAACATGGACATCAATAGCCCAACCTTCACTGACATGAACTTCCGCTACGCTGCTGGCAGGAACGGCATCAGCGCCTCTCTGTCCTCTCCATCGGCTGGATTCCTGGGTCTGCAGGTCAATGGCAAAATCCCAACTCAAATGACCGGAAGACTCTACGGACGCTACCCAGTAAGTATCTGTAGACACAATGGAATGAAATTAATAAAAACATCACTACTTAGAACCACTCAGAATTAATGAAGATTTAGATTGTCTAACAATGCCCTTTTTCATTCCACAGTCCTCCCCAGATGCTGATGTTGACATCATGGTGCTGCGTTCTGCTCCCAAAGACAGTGATAGGATGACTCTGCAGGTGGCCTACAACATGGAAGCCCCCAAAGCCATGCTGACTGAGTTCAAGGCGAAGATCCCTGCTGTCCTGTCCTCTCTGAAAGACTTCATCAACAACAACCTGCTGACAAGCAACGTGCTGGAGTGGAGAGACACCATTGTGGCCAGAATCAACGAGGCCTATGACGCTGCCATCAACTACGACGCCCAGCTCAGCCAGCTCTCCATCTTTTTCCGCAACTTCATTGTTGAGTTCCAGAAAAATGTCCAAGTTTTCCTGGATGCTGCCATCAAAGTGCTCAGGGAGACCCAGTTCCGTCTTCCCGGCTCTGAGGAGATGACCACCCTGCCTGTTGTCCTGAAGGATCTGACCACCAGTGTTGCTGATGTTCTTCGCACCACCATCCAAGTGGTCTATGACACCATGGAGTACTACTACAATGCTTTTGTGGACACCTTTAGCACAGTGGAGCTGCGCATGCCTATCGGAGATGTGATGACCATTGGTCAGATAATCGACAACGTCAGAACAACCGGCAAAGGCATCTTTGAACAAGTGGTGGACTTTGTGAACAACATGGAGAGCCTGGACACTATGCTCGTCAAGATCAGCGAGACCCTGAAAGCAGTTGTAGACAAAACCCAAGAGTTTGTCGACTCCATCAAGTCTGACTACCTGGATGCCCTTTTCGCCAATGTGAACGAGGTGTACAGATGGCTGGTGACCGCTGTGAAGGACATTGCAGACCGAGTGTCCGCCCTGGACATGGAACAGCTGAATGGTGTCTTGGAGTACATTGTAGATATGTTTATTTACGTGGTCGACCAGTACAATGTGACCGTGAACAGCGCTGTGCAGCAGGTGTCCGAGGAGGCTCAAAAATATGTGAAAGCCAGCGATGGCCGCCTGGAGATTGAGCTGCCCTTCCCCTTCCTTCAGTGAGGAGCCCAAACAAACACTACCACCACCTCCCCCAAAGAACGAGGAATGACGAACTCACTTTGCTCTTTATTTATACAAATGTGAACGCTACATCTTTATTATGTGAGGCATTGCAAATATATACCGTTTTACTACCACTGTGCAATGTGTGAAGAGCATCAATAAAAACATTAACTTAACCTGTTCCTGTCTGACTATTTTTTCTCCTGCGTCTATTTTCTTTAGCATGTATTACTACTTCCATAATAACTATTCATTTATCACATCTTGAGTACTGGTACTAGTTTAGTTCATTTCATGCTTTTTTGAATGTGTACTGCAACAGTTAAATAGCTTATTTCTCATATTTCAAAGTTATAGACCAGTGTTGAAAAGGGGTTAACAAAATGTTAATATTTACTTCAGTAACATACACAGCACCACAACTCTATAGTAAATTACTGACAAGCTAGATAGCTTCACAAAGTAAAGCTTCATTGTCTAAGGCTGTGGTTTTCAAACTCCTAGTACTCCTAGTACTCCTAGTACTTGTACCAGATCTAAACCAGGTTTATAACAGAACTACTTTCAGTTTAGGTCTAAAATATGATAACCCTATTGCTACAGTATTGAACTAAGGAGTAAGTTAAAAGAGGAATAAAATGTGCATAAACAGAGTCTAAATTAGGCAAATGCTAGACTGCACAGGAGTCCTTGTACCACCAGAGGGAGCTTGTGTAGACATAGTGCAGTTTGAGAAACACTGGCCTGAGAAATTCAGTGAAAATCGGCTTTGACAGGACTCCAGAGTTATCATAACTCATGTTCAAAAAACACACATAACCAATCAACCAACCTCACTTTATTTGCCCCCGTGGGGAGCTTAAGCACATAGAGCAGTAAAATACAATAATAATAGAAAAGTCTCAGTGCAGCTTAACAGGTAGAGTCATCAGATCCAGTGTCCAGGACAGATCCAGGGCTGTTTGAGGAGTGTAAAAACCATCAGAATAAAAGTGTCTCTTCCCTGTGTCCTCTGTGTCCTGCAGCATCATAGCAACGTCCAGGGGGACCTTAGTGAACTCTGGACACACAAAAGCCTGCCATAAGCCTCTCTTTCTCTACACTCTGTTGTTTTGGTCAGTGATAAAACAAGATATCCCCTCTAGAATATTTTCTGATATATTATTAGTTGATCAGAATCCTCATAGTCTCAATAGAGAGGCAATACCAGCTGTAACCCCTGACACAGTATGGATTCTTTGAGTCCTGAAGCACAGATGTAAGTGTTTCTAGTATGTGACTAGGGTTGTCAAAAGTATAGAAAATAAAGATCAGATACTAATCAGATATTAAAACTAATATAGAAACTAGATACTCATTTGAACAGGTATCTTATTAAAGTCCCAGTCACAGCTTTAAAATGATCTTGAACTGTATCAGACAAGTATAAGAGCACATAGACTAGTAGAACTTAGTAGTAAGTACTTGGACCACTGAAGTATTACACAGATGTAAGTCCACATAGGAATGTAAAAGAAGGTATTATGATTTAATGTGGACAATAACATTCTATTGTCTAAATATAGTGTTTTTTGTTTGTTTATTTTAGTTTTTTATCATTGTGGCACTGGAATCTGTACTGAGTCTTTTTCTCAGTGTGGAAATTGAATTTATAGTATTATGGCAATACTATATGTGACATCTTTAAAATAAGGCTAAAACAAATAGCTATTTCCAAACATTAACAAAACATGAAATAATGAGATATAATCAGATCAAATTGGATTGAGGTTTCTTCAGTAACAGCTCCTGGTTTCAGAAGATTGCTTCATGATTTTCTGTGGTGATGAAAGCTAGTGCTGTAGGCTTTTAATTGAGAATTGGTCGATGGAGTCTTAGTCCACAAAATATTTTATTGGGGTTATGAAGATTAGGTTTATGAAGATTTAGCTGGGACAACAGTAGAAAAGAGAGTTAAAGGGCTCTTCTTACACTATGCTCTGATCTATTATAATGTTGTTTCCTCATCAAAAACAGACCTGGACCTGTGTTTTGTTTCACTGACACATACAAACCCTGCAGATTTAGACTGAGCTCTTGTTGATGTCTGTTCTGCTGTCATGTGGTAATACAAAAAGTATTCCACACATCTTCACTAGAGTCATTTGGATGTTTCAGCCTTATAATTGCCAATTTCTAGAACTAAAGGTAAAAGGAACTGTTTACTTGAAGAGTCAGTCCACCTCAGTTCACCCAATGAGTTAAACCCTACTTTGTCAAATTTAGTTGAAACTAAATAGATAAATCATATATAGGTAAATCATAGACAGAAAAGCCAAAATTTCAAATTTTAATAATAAGGGCCATGACCTCAATGACGCCAATAGAAAAAATTTAACCCTATATGTCTACTACAAAATCTGGAGATTTCATTTTTATTTTCACACAAATTTACCTAGAAGACTTACCCCCCATCTTAAGACGTGACAAATATCCATTCTGTATATACATGTATACATTTATACACACAGAGTCCAAGTTAATATACTCTAAGAAAAATTGTCAGTCACACAGTACCAAAAGTCACAGAAAATTTCACAACTGTCTTTGTTTCATGAAATCAGGATATTTACTCCTCATCTGCAGGTCACTTCAAACAGTGGTTAGAAATTGTGGACATGTCATTACGCGAAATGCTGTAGTTTCTTGTTGAAGATGATTTCAAGAAAGGAGTGTTTATCACACAGTGTATGTCTGAATCAAGCATCCAAATAGAATCATCTTTGGATGGCCAGTAGAAGGCCTTGGCTGGTCCATGATGTTGCATGAACTTTATCTTATTTTCACCAAGTTCTTCTGAGACCTCCTCCACCAGACCAATCCATGGGAGATTATCAGAGCTGCAGCATATGAAGTTCTGAGGTCTAACAACAAGAGGGATATCAGCAGGGCCTTCATGTTCATCTTCATCACTCACATGTCCTTGATGAACTGCCAAATCAGGGGGGTTTGCCTGTTCACTGAGTTTGTGACATGTATCTGTGTCAGGGAGATGGGGACAAAACTGTGGTACTGTAATGTTCCTTTGATTGTCAGCCGTAAACACAGAATGAATATTTGGCATGTCTTAAGATGGGGGTAAGTCAACTTCTAGGTGTGTGTGAAAATAAAAAAGAAAACCCCTCCAGATTTTTTATATGTTGAAGTAGACATATGGGGCTACATTTCAGATCTGGCGTGTCCCTTATTGCCAGTTTCAAGGTCAAAATATAGGTTAAAAGGTAATTCACCTTAAAAGAACTCAAATGCAAAAATAAATGCAGATTTGGATTCTTTATGATGTCCAATTCCAGAGATCACTTGGTTTCTGATATCGAACCAGTAGTTGCTGAGTAAATGTCATTTGAAATTCAGCGACCACGCAAAAAAGTGATAAAAAATTAAATTGCGATATCTCAACAGCCTTTACTCTGATCAAACTAAAATGTGAGATTTTTTTCTTTCTTGGCTATGACTTACACATACACCAATTTTCTTTGCAATTGGACAATGTGAGCATTCAAATTGCAGTTTTTGAGGGTGAACTGAGGTGGAATGACAATAATTATAATTAATGATAAATAATTATAATGAAGGATTATTCAAACAGTGTAAATGAAACAAAACACAACTTAGGGTATGTTTTTGAGGAGGTAAGAAAAATACAACATGGCTTAAAGTTTACAAGAGTCCATTTTGTGTACTATATAGGACCTTGATTCAGCTTAAGATTTGGAAGCCTCTTTACATATAAATACACTGTTTCCCTGTTTGGATGAACTCCTGTGTAGTTTGGCTCAGATACTTGGTCAGATTATAGATATTTGTTTAGTCCACTAACTGATGGGCAGAGCATGTTTTAGTCAACCAAGTCTTTGTTTAGTCGACAGCACTTATGCAAGCAACTGCAAAATACACAACACTTGTACTACAGTTTAGTGTTTTTTCTGCCAAGATGTAGCATCTCTTTCTTCAAAGGGAAAAGCAACAAATAATTTTACTCAAACTCATATATCTTGATCATTTTTTAAGGGACAAAAAATCACCATCTCTGTCTGACAAAAATGAAAACTGTCCTACAAAGCAGCACAAGTCCAATCAGCATTCTCTTTCAAAACTCTAACACTGTCACAAATATATATATATATATAACATTGAACCAACACAAGAATCTGCACAGAAACAGAGCAGTGCTTTGAGTACAGTATTATATTTAATATCAAAATAAGCTTTATTACAGGGGTCACTAACTGGTGGACCGGGGTCCAGACTCAGACTGCGGCCCGCCTTCCCATATGGACCTGGACAGGGTCAGCCCGACCTTCCCTTGCGAAAGGTATCGATCTTCCCAGTTAACACCGTGGGCCGTCTTCATCTCGAGTTATTGCTATGAACTTATAAAATAGCAGCATGTAGATCTTTGTACACAACTCACCTCATCAGCCCAGAGCAGAAGCACTGAGCTATGGTAACAGCAGCAGCCAACAGGGTTAAAGACACAGGACACTCACAGTAGTGAGTACTCCCTCAGGATGGGGCTGGGGGTCCGGTCCTTGGTCTTGTGCCGTGCTCTGACCATGTTGGTCAGGTTTGGAGGCTCCCTACTCCATGTGCTGGGTCCAGATGGTGGCAAGCAAGACCAGTGGCAATGGACTGAGTCCGAGAGGTTCTGTGCCTTCAGCATGGTACATAGGACAGATTAAACTTTTTAAACACCTGTCACCAACCACGTCAGTGTGCCGCTCCTCGTTCTCTCTCCTCCCTGCGTACAGCGAACAGACTCCTTGTCAGTGTGCTGATTATAAAAGCAAGACGAAACGCAAAAGCAAAAACTAATCTAAATTTATGTTAAAGTGTTGGCACAGAGGATGCCAACAGCACAGTACAGGCCTACCACAACATGTGGCTGAACATTGCCTAATAAAAGTGCACAAATGCATCTGTGTTTGTCACGATGTGCGTTTGGTTTGGTAAATGTGCAGAATCTAAATCTGACTACAAAACCAGGAACAGAATGTAACTCCAGGTAGGAACTTGAAAAAACAGCTTTAAAAAGCCTAACCACTTTCTGCACTTTCTTTTTGTGTAAAGTGCCAGTGGAAGCTCTCTTAAAGTCCAAAAAAGAGTGAGT